GTTGGATTATCAACCCTGCCACTTACTGTGGAACCTGAGGCACGTTTCTTAATCCCTCTGGGACTCTGTGTTCTCAACTGTAAAATGGGGAGAATAACAGCAGATATTACATGAGTGTGTTCATTTAACAAATATTGACTGAGCACCAAGGCACCAGGGATGTGTTAGTAAATAAGATCACTAAGACCCTGCTTTCGTGGAGATTCTTTTTAGGCAGAAGAAAGAAAATTAATAAATAAGCACATAAATAACCGAGACAGTGACAGACCTCGGTGAGTGCCATGAAGAACGTAAACAGGGCTAAGGGACTGAAGGGAAGGCGGAGACATGAGTGTTCTGGGAAGACCCCTCAGAGGACATGACATTTGTGCAAAAGAACTGCCAAGGGGAGAGGGGGAGAGGGGTGTTCTGCTCAGAGGTGAGAGCAGAGACCCTGCGGCAGGAATCAGCTGGGCGTGCTTTAGGAATAGAGGGACATTCAATGTAGCTGAAGTATGGTGAGCAAGGGAGAGAATGGGAGGGTGGATGGGGTCAGATCTTGCAGGACTTTGTAAGCCTTATAAATTTTATTCCAACAGCAATGGGACACTCCTGATAGGTTTCCAGCAGGAGAGGAATATGACATGTGGAAGCTAGTTGGACAAGGTCCCTCTGGTTGTTGCATAGAGATTGTTAACAAGCAGTGATGAAGCAATGAGGCCTGTTAAAAAAACAGTTGTCCACGTGAGGGCTTGTGAGGGCTGGACAGTTGGCGGTGGAGATGGAGAAAAGAAATTCAGATTTAGGATGTGTTCTGGAAGGCATGTGGAGTCAATGGGGGGGGGGGGATCTGGGTAAAACCCCAGTACAGAGCCTGACAAACAGGGCTCAGTTAAGTGTTTGCTAGACAGTACAATCTGGGGTAGTAGGCCCATCACAATTCCATAAGTCAAAGAGGAACCTGGCAAATACTTAAGTCACAGAACAGGTTAGCTAATTCACTCAGCCACTCATCATTTATGTGCCACTAGGGCAAGGCATAGTCAGGGCCTCAGTTTCCCCATTCACAAAATGCACAGTGGACCAGACGAACTCTAAGGCAGCCAGCAGAGCCAACATTCTGTGAAACTTAGTATGGGCTATGTCAGTCAGGGTTTGATCAGAGAAGCAGAGTTGCTACGAGTGAGGTGAAATAAGGGATTTATAACCACCCAGTCTGTAGTATCTTGTTATAGCAACCCAAATGGACTAAGACAGGCATAAAACAATAACGATCATGGATTTTGTGTCAGGAATTGGAAAAGGGCGCAGCAAGGATGGTTCTATGCCCCACAGTGTCTGGGCCGAGAAGACTCACACAGCTGGGGGTAGGAACCGCTGGCACCAGAGGACCCACTTCCAAGATGGCTTTTTCATTCACACTCTGACACTTGGCCTGGGATGGCTGAAGGGTAGGCTCGGCCCATCTGGGACTATTAGCTGGAAAGCCCTTATGCAGCCTCTCCAACATGGTGTCTCAAGGTAGATGGACTACCTACAAGGCTGCTCAGAGCTCCACAGAAAACTTCCCAGAAAATAAGGAAGAAACTGCATGGCTTTTTATGTTGTGGCTTTGGAAGTCACCTAGTGTCACTTCCACTGTACTCTCCTGGTTGAAGAAGTCATGAGCCCTCCCAGATTTGAGGGGAAGGAACATAAACTCTGCCCTTCAGTGGAAGGAACACTGAAGAATTTGAGGCTGTGTTTTACAACCCCCACCTGTCACTCTGCCTCGTCCAGTTCATACCTACCCACAGGAGGTGGCTAGTTCGCCCTGTGGTCATTTTTATTCCTGTTCATTCTCACCTGTATCAACTGATGAGGGTGCTGCGTATGAGAAGATTATGACCACTGTCTTTTTATCCATGCTTCCCCAGGTCTCTTGGAAACTCATGTGCCCCTCATTGCTAAGCTCACATTCCAATTTGTCTACACCTTACCACTTACGGATGATCTTTTGGCTTGTAACTCCTTGGCTGAAGGCCCCTGCTTACCACCTGGCTTGCAGCATATATGATTGATTCCCAATTGCATCAGCTGACAATTATGGGATGAGTGGTCAAGTAGCCAAAGAACAGTGATATGAAAATGTCTGGGTTTGATTCATAAAGCAGAAAACAGGCCTTGAATCTAACAACAATTGTGGCCAAAATATTGTTTCACCTTAAAAGATTTAAGAATTGATCCATGATGAAAAATAAAAAATGAAAGAAAATTATTGGTAAATATCCAAGTTTGGAGGGAAGTTGAAAGCTATCTTGTAGGGGTGGCTGATTGAATAGACTTGACCTTCATCCTGGAACCAATTCAGCTGTATTTTGGTGGCCACCTACACCAGGCACATAATGAAGCCTCTCTTTTTCTGAAGAATTAGAGGATTCAGAGCCTGAACCATTCACTTATTTATTCAACAAATATCTGTTGAGTACCTTCTATGGATCAGGTAGTATTGTTCTTTGCTGTTCAGGAGAATGAGGTTGAAGAAGATAGAGCTTCTGACCTCAGAAGATCATGAAGGAGACCAAACAAACAAACAAAAACAAAGCCCCCCAAACCAAACTTATAATACAGGCAGGGAGCCCAAGAGAAAGCACTTAAGTGTAAACAAGCTTGTTTCATTCTTCCTTTCATGTCTTAATCTCCTCGAATGTGACTGTAAGTTCCTTGAAGACAGGGACCACCTTTTATACGTCTGCATACATCCCAGTACTCAGCTCCGTGACATGTCTACAATAACTTATCACTACGCATTTGCTAGTGGTTGACTGATAAATATTGAAGTGAAATGAGGTTGTGGAGGTACAAAGTATGTTTGCATTATGTTTTGCCTCCTGCACAGGCTTGTGGTTGCCCATCTATATATTAAACCATCACCACTAATAAATAAAATGTCTTATGTACGATCTAATGCTTGGTAGGAGGAACAGGGCTCTGATTTCTTGACAGGCAAGAGCTCTGTGGTGACTGGATTCTTCTCTGCTGGCTAGTGATGCAATGGATAAGAGGAGGGTTTGGCTCTGCCCCTTCAGCACTGTTACTTAACCTCTTCGGGCCTCATATTCTTCCACTTCAAGCAACGTATTGTTCTCTTCCGCTTTACCCAGTACGCACGTTCCTGTTTTATAGCTAGTTTGGGTGCTGCAGAAGATGCACTACCCAGACTTTTTGTAAACTAATGGTGTGTGGCTGGCTTCTCCCCATGCTTCTGTTTTCCACAGTAAATTGAGTCAATCCTATGAGGTTTTAGTCCTAGGGAATTTTCCCCTCAAAAACCAAACAGGTTAATAATGAACCACTTTCTTGTGTTTTCTATGAAGACAGCTCTTTGTAAGTTCTAAATGTTCTGTCCTGATTCAAAGAAGCTGGTTTCTTCATGAGTGGTTGGAATAAGACTTTTCTTGGAAGCTGCTGAATATGGATTAGTTGGATTGTTTCACAAGGAGAAAAAAATATGCGGGCTCTGGGGTGACTGCTTCAGCACTTAATTGGGTTAGCAAAAAACTGCAAATGAGAGGTTTTCCTTGGGAAGGAAAGGATGTTTACAGCACACCCCCCACACCCCCCTAGGTGGTGGATTTTAACCTAAACGCTAGTCTTTAAGTGCAGCCTTTAATTTAGGAACCATTACAAGAATCTATTAGAGCAGAAAATGTCAGGTTGAAAAATTAACACATCACAGGAGTTAATTAGAATCCAGCCTCTCATTAGATGCAAATGGAGAGCCCTCCAACTGCCCACCAGGCCCCTGAAGTCATGTTTGTTGCAGCTCCAGCGTGTGCTGCGTGTGCCTTTACCACTCAGAGTGGATGGAGGAAGCTGGCCAGGGCCGCTAGGGACCCATGGCCGGCCCTGTAGGTTAACAGAAGGTCCCTATCTTCTACTCCTTTCCTAAATGCTCTGCATGTCACAGGGTGGATAGCCCTCTGCCTGAAGTGTTTTCTGCAACAAAGACAAACATGCCATGCCTGTCACCAGGAGCAGACTGGTGACTGTGTAAACCACTCTGTGAGAGGCAAGCCGAGGGGCTCCAGGCCATTCAGACTTAGCTCTAAGTTGTGGTCTTTGTTTTCTTTCCACATTCAGACTGAAATGTGATTCCCCTGGCTTTCTTTTTTGGAAAATACCTGCGATCAGTTCCATGCAGGGAAAGAAAAGCTGTTGACAGGAAAAGCTTCTGACAGGGAAGGGGGCTCCTTCTTCAAGTGTTCTAAAAGGAGACAGTTACTTCAAGCAAGATGAGGGATGTGAGGGATGCCAGGGCCAGGTCTGAGGCCCAGAACGCAAAAGGGTCATCTTGAACTGTAGAGAGGCCTGGGTGTCAAGAGTTTCCTCTGTGAGAGCAGTACCAGGCACTGCACACAGACTTCTGGGCTAAGCACACATGCATCCGAGGCCTTCTCTGTCACTTACTGTGCGATCTTGGGAAAACTGCTTAGCCTCCCAGAACTGTTCCTCAAGCTGTTGTGCAAAATAAGAGATAATATGCGTAATCTGGCACAACATAATCTAAGTTGTTATTGATTTGATAATATAGTGTTCCTTCACCCAACACTAATGGTGGTCCCTCGATGTACCTGGCCCTGACTTCCTGGAGGTCATTGTTTAATAAATCATTGGAGGTCACTGTTTAATAAACTACATACACATATCTTTAGTGAGAACCCAACCCTCCTACCCTCACTGGGAGGGAGGTGACAATTGCACACTAACTCTGCTTTGCTGAGTGGCTCAGAATCCTGCAGTCACCTTCCTTTGAGCAGCCGTCTAGACTTAGCTGCCTTTCGTTTACCCAAAATTCTCTCTGTCCATTTATTACACTGAGTTACAGATGTGTTTATGTTTTGTATCCTCCTGTGAGTTACTAGAGGGTAGGGATTATCTATCTATTCATTTGATTCATACATCTAATCATTATTCATCTCTGTAGGCCAATGGTCTCATGCCTTACTCAGCACAGGCATGCAGAAGATTCACCCCTACTGTTGAGTGTGTAGGTTTCCCACTAGAAAATTTTCTGGAGAAACAACTCTTTCCCCATTGTTGAAAGGCCGCCTTTGAGTCCTTGGTTTGACTGAGCTTTTATTTTCTAACTATCACTTTTGTTCTAGCCTCAGTTTCTTCATCTCTTTAACAGGCTACTGGAGTCGTCTTCCTCAGGAGATGATGACGATGGCTGGAGACAATGCAGCTTCTGTGTGCCCAACACTGTTCTGGTGCAGTGCCAAATATCAGAAAAATGTTGATTCCGTCATCTGCCTCAGCCAGGTCTATTTGCCAATATAAGAAAACTAAAAATACAAAACAGAATGTGAGCACCACAGTAGTGGTAAGACATCCAGCTTGAATCCAGACTTTGCCATATGCCAGACTTAGCTGAAGTGGAGAGATACCAACACACACAGGAAAGTGATCCCTGTCACCAGCCCCACTGTCACCAGAAAAGCATTGACAAGTGCTGGACGACAAGATCTCACAGAGAGAGTAGAAAGCCGTCCACCCAGACCCTTGGACCTGGGATGCCAGAGGTGTCTTTGGGCGCCAAGCTGGGAAGCAGGAGGCTGTCCCACAACAGCAATAACCAAGGTGTTTGGCACTTACCTAGATGCTGTGCCAGACACTGAGCCAAACCATTTACAGGCATTATCTCATTTAACTCGTAAAAAAAAACTGTGTGTAATAGACACGAACTTTCTCATTTCTCACAGATGGCCACGTTGGGGCAGGGACTCACAGTGCTTCGACCAGTTAAGCAAATGTTTTAAGAATCCACCTGCTGAGGGTTTCACTCGCCCATAGAAAATCTGAGAGGGCAAATTGGTCCAGAGCCCCGACCAGGAGGTGGGGGTGGGGGGTGGGGGCGCCGGGAATGAGAGAGGGGTTATGTTGGATGGAAACACGGGTCGCAGGATTCCGCAGATCTCCAGGACACTACGCAGAAGCAGAGTACGTTAGAAAGAGCTGCAGGCTGCAGCGACGGATGCCCGGGAGGCTGGAGGAGGGGGGACTCACTGGTTGTGCGCCTTCTCACCCCCCCCCCCTCCCACATCGAACCTCTCCCCGCCTGCCCTCTCACTCTCCCGACCTTATTTAGAAACCGTGTCCCGAGACAGGAAGGGCGGCGGGCTGAGAAGCACGGAGCGTCCCGGCCTCATTTCCTTTCGAATCCCCCTGTGGAATTTCATTTCATACGGTGAGGAAATCGGAGCGCGAGACCCTCGGCTGGCCGGCTGCTCCGGGGCGCCTCCCCCACTCGCGGCTGGAGGCCAGCAGCTCCCGGGTGCAGGTCGGCAGAGCCTGGCGGGGCTGGGGGCGCGGGGCAGGGAGAGGGGGCCGGGCTCCAAACCAAGCAAGTTGGGAGTGGAAATAGCTGCGAGCTCGGGCTGTACCAGGCACCGTGCTAAGCGTTTTACGTATTATCACTAATCCTCCCAAGTCTCCTTACGGATGAAGAAAAAGACGCCTAGAGGTTGAGCAATTTGCTCAAGGTCACACGGCCGGGGATTTAAAGTCACAGTCTTCGTAAATCCAGATCCCCTGTGCTTTGCATACGTTTCTCTGCCGGATGGGAAGGTGGCCACGAGCCGAGGTGACAGCTGGAAGAAGGAAAGGAAAGGGAGCCGACTCATCTGGGAGCACTTTTCACCTGGGAGAGGAGGGGGCAGGCTGGCCAGGCCGGAGTGACTGGCTCCATCCCCGCCTGGCCCCCAAGTGCGGGGAACCTGGTGGGAGGAAAGTGAGAGCAGGGAGGCAGGGCGGGGCGCTCCCGGCTGGGAGGCGCGGAGGGAGAGACGGGCGGCGGAGGGCCGCGGGCGGGCGGGGCCTGACCCCTCCAGCCGCAGAGCGGCCACGCCCCCCACTGCCCACAGCGCCCAGCCATTGGAGTGGCCCGCTGTCCGTCCCGCCCCGCTACCGCCCAGCGAACCTCTAGCGCCGGGGAGGGCTTGGGCTGTGAGAGCGAGGCGGCGCTGTGTGCTGGCGGGCTTCGTGGAGACCGGGCTGCAGACGCTGCCAGTGCTGGGTTGGGGGCACACCGCCTGCAGCCATGACCCTCGCAGGGTGTCCCTCGGCCTCGGCCCAGGGAGTCTAATATCCCGCACAGTGGCACGTAGCTACTGGAGAGCCGACCGCTGCAATCTCGTCGCCCTTGGCGCCTTATCACTCTCCCTGCCCTGGAGCTGGGAGCAGCGCGGGGAGCCAGCGAACCCCGTGCAAACTGGGGGTGTCTGCTGGAGCTGCCCCCGCTGCCGCTGCTACCCCCGGCTCTGGCCATGGCCTGGTGGGGAGCACGGCCGAGCGTCCTGGGGGCGCCCGGGGGCGTCGGTCTCAGTCTGCGGCTTCTGCTGGTATTGCTGCTGCTCTTAGGGTCGGCGTGGGGCTTTGGGGACGAGGAGGAGCGTCGCTGCGACCCCATCCGCATCTCCATGTGCCAGAACCTGGGCTACAACGTGACCAAGATGCCCAACCTTGTGGGGCATGAGCTGCAGACGGACGCGGAGCTGCAGCTGACAACTTTCACGCCGCTCATCCAGTACGGCTGCTCCAGCCAGCTGCAGGTGGGCGCCCCCCATCCCTAACCCCTGGCGGGACCTCTGGGCAGGGACACCCCAAACTAACTCCGTGGAACCCTTACCATGTCGAGCCTCCTGCCTGCTTCCTAGGCTGAAGGGTGTAACTGTCCTGAAAAACTGATTTTTCATCCCCACCCCCACTTTTCTGTCCTTTCTCAGGGACTGGAAGCCAAAATGTTGTGTAAGTCATCTGGCCTGCGAAAGAACCCACTCTTACACCCCGCCCTTCCGTTTTTCTCCCCTACCCACCCGTGTCTGGCCAAGCCCCTAACCCCAGTGGAGCTGAGGGTTATCTTTGCCAAGGATTCTGGCCGCCGCTGTTCAGTGGGCGAGTCCCCGGCGGGGCAGCCAGCTGCAGCTAAGACTTGGAAGGAGAGATGAGGAGCTGGGAACTTCTCTCTCACCGACCTGATTTTTACCCCATGTTTTTGGGTGACTTATTAAATGAAACACCATTGCCCTGTTTTCTGCGGAATGGCCCCTCCTCGTGTCGCCCGCATGGTTTTAGAGGTCATGCAGGAAGGAATGGTTGGGTTGGCTTGAGTTCGTTCTTATCCTCAGGGTTGAGGGCAGGTTAAGTACTTTGAGGCAGAGAAAACACAGCTTGGGAAAAAAAGGGGTGGTATGGTTAAGTTCCAAGAAGGTAGTTTGTATATTAGAAGATGTTGTTATTGTTGTTTTTGCAGTCATTGAAAGTGTTTAAGCTTATGTATGATACAGAAAATTTTCCTCCTACAATAGTAAGTGAAGAAATACTTTGCATATACAAGCTGATTTCAATCTTAGAAAAACAACAGCCACTTCATTGGAAAAGAAAAAGAATTGAAAGAAAAAATTAAAAAGTATTAACAGTGGTTGTTTTGTTTGGTGAGGCTATGAGTGGTTTGGGGGAATTTAGAAGAGAAATTGGGGGAAAAATAGGAGGTAGTTGTCCAGGGTAAAAGCTTTAGAAAATCTGTGGTCCTGGTTGTAACTTCTGAGAGATAAGAAACAAGCAGACAACTTATTTACTAGGTGCATGTTTTTATATAGGTCATTTTAAAAGTTGGATTGTGGTTTCAGAAAGATGGTTGGGATTAGACCCGTTGCTGGTGAAATGTCCCTTTGGAAGTTTCAGAACTTCAGAACTAGGTTATAAAAGCTTAAAAAATGATCCTCTAGCTCTCGGTTTGGAAACAGCACATATCCTGACATCAGTGGCAATTTTGTTGGAGAAACAGCTTTTGCAGGGATATATATTTTTAATTACATGTATCCTGGGGAAGCAGCCAAGTTGTTTTGAAGGACAGGACTGGATCCCTTTACATGCTGGAAAATAGTTACTTGTAACTCTAGACTTCATAGACAACATCTGTAAGGAGCCAGGCAGACTGTTTATCAATGCTGGAGGAATTGAGGACAGCAACTGCACTCTCCCCTGCTGGTATTGCAGTGTCAGGGACTTAACATTTATATTTCCCTATTGTGTTTCATTTTTATTCAGTGTGAAAACCTGGCCAAACAGACCTCAGGTGACTGAAGACCTCAACCAGCATCCCATTGTTGGGTCTAACTCTATCTTAATTAGGACAGTTTCTTTCCTTCTCTTTTTAAAGATTTTATTCATTTATCTTTAGAGGGGAAGGGAAGGAGAGAGGGAGGGAAATATCAATGTATGGTTGCCTCTCATGCGTCCCCTGCTGGGAACTGGCCTGCAACCCAGGCATGTGCCCTGACTGGGAATTGAACCACGGTTGTTTGGTTCACACTCCACTGAGCTACACCAGCCAGGGCAGGACAGTTTCTGTTTCGATATAAGACTGATTAAAAAATGATTTTATGGGATAAAGTAGAGGAAAGAGAGAATTTTCACAGGAGAAAAGGTAGCTCTTCTACTTCTTCTACCTTTATTTTTTATGGCAATAAAGAAATTGGAATGAAAATAAATTGCCTATCACCAAAATGAGTCCTTTAATGTCTGTTCACCTCTTTCAAACAGCTGAAAGGGGAGGGAGACTCGAATTCCGTCTTTTAGGTTTATTTTTTAAGTGTTGTCCAAAAAGGGATTATATAATTCTTTGGGTCTGTTTTATACATTTGTTTATTTATGTTCTCCAGGAAGGGGTTACTAGACCCAAAAGAAGAAACTGTGTAAGTGATGGGTTATTAGGTTTGAGGTCGGTGTAAATGGTCAGATTCCCTATAGGCAGGTTTTAAAAGTAGTTATGAACTTTGCCTGCAAGCATTCACAACTCAGCTTTGTGCAGGCGTTTGGTCATACTTCCAAGTCACTGTTTTCTTTGTTCACTTCATTACTTTTCCAGTTCTTCCTTTGTTCTGTGTATGTGCCAATGTGCACTGAGAAGATCAACATCCCCATCGGCCCATGTGGTGGCATGTGTCTTTCAGTCAAGAGACGCTGTGAACCTGTCCTGAAGGAATTTGGATTTGCCTGGCCGGAGAGCCTGAACTGCAGCAAATTCCCACCGCAGAATGACCACAACCACATGTGCATGGAAGGGCCAGGCGATGAGGAGGTGCCGTTACCTCACAAAACCCCCAGCCAGCCTGGGGAAGAGTGCCATTCCGTGGGAACCAATTCTGATCAGTATATCTGGGTGAAAAGGAGCCTGAACTGCGTTCTCAAGTGTGGCTATGATGCTGGCTTATACAGCCGCTCAGCCAAGGAGTTCACCGACATCTGGATGGCCGTGTGGGCCAGCCTGTGCTTCATCTCCACCGCGTTCACCGTGCTCACCTTCCTGATTGATTCTTCCCGGTTTTCCTACCCTGAGCGCCCCATCATATTTCTCAGTATGTGCTATAATATTTATAGCATTGCTTATATTGTCAGGCTGACTGTGGGCCGGGAAAGGATATCCTGCGATTTTGAAGAGGCAGCAGAACCTGTTCTCATCCAAGAAGGACTTAAGAACACAGGATGTGCAATCATTTTCTTGCTGATGTACTTTTTTGGAATGGCCAGTTCCATCTGGTGGGTTATTCTGACACTCACTTGGTTTTTGGCAGCCGGACTCAAATGGGGTCATGAAGCCATTGAAATGCACAGCTCCTATTTCCACATTGCAGCCTGGGCCATCCCTGCAGTGAAAACTATTGTCATCTTGATCATGAGACTGGTGGATGCCGATGAACTCACTGGCCTGTGCTATGTTGGGAACCAAAACCTGGATGCCCTCACGGGCTTCGTGGTGGCTCCCCTCTTCACTTACTTGGTGATCGGAACTTTGTTCATTGCTGCAGGTTTGGTGGCCTTGTTCAAAATTCGGTCAAATCTTCAAAAGGACGGGACAAAGACAGACAAGTTGGAAAGGCTGATGGTCAAGATTGGGGTCTTCTCAGTCCTCTACACGGTTCCTGCAACCTGTGTGATTGCCTGTTATTTCTATGAAATTTCCAACTGGGCGCTTTTCCGGTATTCGGCTGATGACTCCAACATGGCGGTTGAAATGTTGAAAATTTTTATGTCCTTGCTGGTGGGCATCACTTCAGGCATGTGGATTTGGTCTGCCAAGACTCTTCACACTTGGCAGAAGTGTTCCAACAGATTGGTGAATTCTGGGAAGGTAAAGAGAGAAAAAAGAGGGAATGGCTGGGTAAAGCCCGGGAAAGGCAATGAAACTGTGGTATAAAGCCAGCCAGCCTCCACGCTTCCCAGATTTTGAAGGAAAAACCAGCATTTCTGTGCAAATGCTACTAAAGGTTTCATGCAGTGAATCTCAGTTTGAATAAACTAGCCACCCTGAAGTGACCCCCATAACCCACCGACCGCTCTCTCCCTCTCTCCCTCGACATCATAAAACTCATGATTTTGCTGCAGACTTTGGAATAATCCAAAATGGAAAAGCCAGGTAGAGGCTTTCAAAGCTGTGAAAAATCATAACATTTGATCACTTTAGCAGGTCGCAACTTGGAGCGTGGAGGTCCTGCCTGGATTCCAGGAGGTCCAGGGCGGTGCTGCTTTTCCCCAAGGGGTGGGATTTGAGCTGTGAGGAGGTAACTTGCAGGGAGAAAGATTAACTTTTTTTTTTAACTCTTTAAAATTTAAAATACTAACTGGGTCTTTCAGATAGCAAAGCAATCTATAAACACTGGAAATGCTGGGTTCAGAGACGTGTTACAAGAGTTTTATAGTTGGCTGATCTAACATAAACATTTTCTGTGGTGCATT